TACAACATATATGATAACTCGGTGATTCACATAAGCAGGATTATAGTATCATGAAGATGTAAGCACTAATCCCGAAAACACAAACCGCCATAACAAGCCATACCTCTTCGTCGGAGATCGAAACCAATGCAGCCTAACTTGAAAGCTAGAACGTCAAAAACAATGAAAGTAGAAAAGGGTGGCGATACGCCGAAAGTATTATTGAACTGATGTTGTTTGTTCACAAGGTATCGGGCCATATTTATAACTAAATACATAATATGCCCTTGCTGGACACAACTCTATCTCTATTACAATTTAAAATACGAACAAGTCTCTTAGACGGACTCTTACCAAAAATATCTCTAAGGGAATTAACTAAAAACATCATAATTAATAGATACAATTGCTTTTTCTGGACTCAATCCTTGCATGGCAATGCCTGTGTAGTGCCTTGATCGATCCCAACAATGATTCTAGAACCATCTCCCTGGGATCGGCTGCATCGGCTTCTCCTTGCTTGATTCCGTATCAGCCGATACCGTCCGTAGCCGATGCGCACTCTGCTCTATGAGAAACAAACTCTCTCCAAATCCGCTTTAGTTTTAGCTTTGAATCCGATTTAAGATTTGTCAAATTTGGTTGTTAACGGTATGTGGACTTATTAAGGAATCGTATGTGAAAATACAAGCTGATTTTTGCAGACGTGACAAGTTACGATCCGCGTGTAACCTACTTAAGGGGGCTGTCATCTGAAAAAATCGTTTCTATACTAGTTTGATTCATGGATCGTCGTGCCCTCCCCAGCCTGCTTTTCCTCCCCTCCTTGATCTGCTGCTCCATTAAATGGTTGATGCCGTGGCCTAGATCTAGCGACGACTTAGGTTCGACGACACCAGTTGCTTAGTTGATCTGTTACTTCTACTTCTTTACCTGTTGCACTTATGGATGATATTGATCCATAGATGTTGATTCAATGGTGTGCAAAGATTGGTTTTAAAAAAAATGATGTGCAAAGTTGTGGATGTTGTTGACTCTAGATATGGATCTCGAGGGGGGGTGGGGAGCGGCACTCGAAAAAATTGGATTCATCGAGTGACTTTCCTTTCTTTATACTTGTGGAATCTTGGCAATGTTGGTTTTCAATCCATCATCAGTGGAACCAAAGTTTCGCCGTTCAAATTGGACACTAATAACCCATTAAGGCAGTCTCAATCCATCACATAAGCTGTTGTCTATAGAATTTATTAGGGTGGACCTAATCAAAATTCTGAAGTGGCATAGTAATTAATTAAAGAAGGGATTGAACGAAAAAAAAGGAGAAAACGGTGTCACATGCACGAAACCGGACTGCGGTGTGTGCATCAAATCAAGACGCTAGAAACTAGCAAACTCAGCGTTGGGGTGATTAATCGTTTCTTCCCCCCACACATGTTTCTAAAACATACTCATATATAGTGATCCCCTGCGTCGGCCTCCCCTTCGCCATAGATAATTTTTAGGATTTTGCCGTAGCTCATTATTGCATATGGATGAAGGTACTACCTCTATCCCACAAAATATAAGAATGTAGAGATGGATGGGATATTTTCTAGTAACTAGAAAGATAGCCCGCGCAGATATTTTGGTGTTTCAAATTTTGTGACAAATGTTTATGTATAGGATTTTTTAAAAAAAATATTTTTTTAGTCTTCTAAATCTATGTTTATTAATAACATTTTTAGGATTGTTTTGAAAGTTGGTTTTGATCACTGGACTGGTGAAAATGGACTGGTGTGTGTAAGTGAGCCCACCCATCGATTGGGCTTAGCTACGTGGTTTTGGAGGGCGGGCTGTTACAGTGACCGTGGCCCATGAGAGTTGTGTGCATATGTTTAGTATCATCTTCCTAGTTTAGCAAGAGTGTAACCAATTTATATATAAGGCCTTATCCCTCCAACTATGTCACTCCTGGGTTAACCCTTTTACACGAAGCGAGAACGAAATTGTAAGTGGACTGGTGTGTGTAAGTGAGCCCACATGTCGGTTGGGCTTAGCTACGTGGTTCTGGAGGGTGGGCTGTTACAGTGACTATGCAGGTAAGTTGGACCGATGGAGACGTCGAGTCCTTTGAGGGGATGTCTGTGACATCCTAGTGCAACTAGAATGTGGTCTATGTTTTTTTTAATTTAAAGGATATGACCTATGTTGTCCATAAGCAGCATTATGTGCACTTGAGTAGTACCATCTTGCTAGTTAAACAAGAGTGTAGCCAACTTATAAGACATTGCCTCTCCAACCATATCATTCTTAGGTTGACTATTTTAAACTAAAGTTGCTACAAATTATAAACTAAAATTACTTACACCATGTCATCTTAAATTTGTGAGAAAAATATGTCACAACAATGGAACTGGTTCATATGAAACTATCATTTTATACATGTGTTTCTTTTTTAAAATATTTAGCATATTAATTTAAAATTTTAAGTAATATTTTTTTCTTGTATACTAAAGATGTCTCTGTATATTTTAGGATATATTAATTTAAGGAATTTTCTATTAAAAATATGATAATATGACTTCTTTATCTAACTAAAGACATAGTCACGTACTTCTATTTACTTCTACTACTTCCATTCATAAATTGAAGGATTCAAATTTTAACCTAAAATATAAGGGATTTTTAATACTACTTCAGCCATTCTTCATTTAATTTTTATCCAATATTACTCTAACCATCTTCTAACTCTCTACATACCCCTTGTTTAATGAGCCTTATTTAATGATAGGTATCTTAGTATTTTTTTTTCATTCCTCCTTAATTCTTATAAAATGTTAGGATCCATTATAGGATGGAGATGTATAGTAATAAAAAAGAGCTTCATTCATAGACGGATTTATTTGTACCTTTGTAGATTGATTTAGCTTTACATATTTGTATAGGTAAACATACCTCATATACAAGTTGAGAAATATAATCAAGTTGGTAGAAAGTTGTTAGATGCCAAATTTATTAAAAATTTAAGGTGGATATTTTTTCGTGGTAATTTTTAGAATCTTCTTTATTCGGTGGTTAATTAGTTGTTATAAGGAAAAAAAGAGGCGAGAGCCAGTGGGTTTGTCTCATCGGTGAGGAGGCAACTGGATACATGAGTTGTACATATGCACTCTAACGGGTAAGGTCCATAGGTTTGAGTAAGACGATTTTTTTTCTCAGAATTTCTTATATTCACTTTAATTTATTAGAGCGTCGTGACAGCTTGAAAGCGTTTGTAAGACGTTTAATTGATTTTTCCTATATAATAATAGATAATTCATGTCATATTAATTAATATATCAATCTATAAATATTTATGGGTTCACCACTGAAAAGAAATGGTATATATCCAAGTGATGTCCAGATAATTTTTTTTGAGTTCATCACTAAAAATTAAAGGTATATTCATCCAAGTGACGTATAATAATTTCTATACAGTAATATATGTACCAAGAGAATATTATTATATACTATGTACGTATTTGGTTGTTGGCTAAAAAATAGGAAATAAATAGGAGAGACGGATGGGGAGGGTCAGAGGGGGTGGGAGGGAGTACGTATATATATGCGCACGTATTTCCTTTTTTCTTTCGGAACGTATATTACCTGAACTTGTGAACGGAGAGGGGAACGTGCAGATTTTTTTCTCGAAGATAAGATTTAACGGTGGAAATTAATAATTTAATTGTTTAAAATATTAGGTCCACCAGTTTAAATGAAAGTGCCACATGACGGTGTAGGAGCATTTATAGGAGTGCTACGTGGCGGTTTATGAGCGTTTGTAGAAAGTTTAATGGACTTTTAGTATACTAGTAACTAGTAATATGCCCGTGCTAAACGCTACGGTACTACTTTATTTGTCTTTAATAATTTTTAAAATTTTCATGTTAGAAAAAAAACTATTATATGAACTGTGCATTTGAGTTTTAATTCAATTTATGTCATAGATCAAATATATTTCATGTAAAGTATAATAATATGATATACCAATTCATGCAGATATATAATGCATATATCTGTGTTTTAAGTCATATGATATTAAAGATATATGATAATGCGTATATTTATGCCTTAAGTCATAATAATGCATAATAATATGATATATTATGCATATATCCGTGACACACAAAAAAATTAGGAATATCAAGTGAATCAGGAATGGAGTATGTGTGCTGTCAAAAAATAATATCATTACAAAGGAACAACTAAATCTTTGATGTGGTAGTAGTACAGGTATTAGACCATAGATGGGACTAAAACTTCTAAGTCCCTATTACATCGGATGTTTGGACACTAATTATAAATATTAAACGTAGACTATTAATAAAACACATCTATAATCTTGGACTAATTCACGAGGCGAATCTATTGAGCTTAATTAATTCATGATTAGCCTATATGATGCTACAGTAAACATTCTCTAATTATGGATTAATTAGCCTTAAAAAATTTGTCTCGCAAATTAGCTTTCATTTATGTAATTATTAGCTTTCATTTATGTAATTAGTTTTGTAAGTAGTCTATATGTAATACTCTAAATTAGTGTCTAAATACAGAGACTAAATTTAACTCCCTGGATCCAAACACCACCTTACTTTGAATATTTCCAAGGCTCAAATGAACAAAACTTCTGCAATGTATTGATTATTTTGCCTCAGATTGGGCGACTAAGGATAGCAGATCTGTTGACAAACAATATGGTTCTGATTTCAGGAGACCATACCACCAATATATTGCCCAAAATTGGATATTTTTGCAATTATACTGTTTTCAGATAGCAAATAGTGCATGTGGCATTAATCACAACCTATGCATGTGCTGATAATTTCCCTTTTCTTGAGAGGGAGAGAAATTCTGTTACATGCTTGGTGATTTGATAATATAAAACTGTTTTTTGTTATATAAATTCCAGTATATACCCCTATAGGAAATAAAGCAGCATATATCCTCTCTATAGAAAAATGCAGTATATATGCTCGTAATGGTGAAAAAAAAATGGCACATAGGAGACATTGCAGTATATACTTTTGTATATAAAAAAAATCAGTATAAGCATTTACAGGAAACATTCAGCATATGCATCTACAGGAAAATTTAGCATACAAATCTGAAAGCATGCAAGGACTGAAGTACACAATATCCATCTATTTCTATAAAGATATTCAATCTAATTGTCTCCTAATCAACCACTGGCAATAATTTTTGGGGCATACTTTTGACTATGGTGATAAAATGATTATCCTCACCTGCAAACGAGTAGAAAATTTTAGACACTGTGAATGATCTTGCAGTAGAAAAATACATGTACTAACCTGCTGCTTTGCCACATGTACTTGAATACTCTGCTGCTCTCCTTCAGATGTGTTCATCACATCAGGGCAAAAGAAACCAGATGGCAGCCGGGCTGATGTGGCGATGATGGCGGTATTCAACAAGTCAATATATCCTGCAACGAGGAGAACAATGGTGTCAACTGTACATCATTGAGCAGACAGACAAACAAATCAACATGTTGTTGATGAATGAATTATCAATTGAGCATCATCCATGTCTTGTTTCAAAATCCATCTCTTTCTTCTTTGGTTGTAGTGGTTCCACTCCGGTTATGTTTCAAGGTTCGTTTTCTCTTTCTCGTTGCCACGACAATATGAGGCTTCTTCTACCAGTACCAGCAAACCGATGCCCACATAAGCAACACCTAGCTAGTAACAAAATTCATGGCTTGAATCTTAGGAACTATTAGGCTTGTTTGCCGGCAGTCAGATCTAACCTTCATCTTGCATCTAAAAATATAGTTCTATTCCTAATAAGCACTAAAGAATTAAAAGATCTGCCATCACAAAAGAGTAACCCATCTGAACTACATGGAGCTATTTACTCAAAGATCAAGACTCACAATTATTAGCTAGTCTTCTGTACTATAATGCATCAGAACAGAGCAGTATCCATCACTTAATCTGATCGAGCTTGAAAATGTAATTAGCCATGTACAAATGAATAAGTGCGATTTAGATTGCACAGAAACATGTATCTTCAATGACACGGCCAGGCCGATGACATACTATTCCTTTAGCAAACAAGGACATGCCGATGACCATATAAAAACAATATATTTGTACAATTAATTGGACATGGAGAAAAAAATTCATAAACCCCTAACATCAGTTGTTATGCATATGGATATATATAACTAATTATGGGATGAAATAGGATGGTTTCCTTCAGGACACATCCCCAGTACTTTTGAGTCTTTCACCGCTTAGTACTATCATATAATCCAATATGCTGTTATACTATACTCCACCGTTTTGTGTCGACCTACTAATACTATATCCATCCTATAGCTAGTTAATGAGAATTAATTAAGCTTCAGAAGGAGGTGTCAATTTAAAAGCAATCGAAATAATAAGCACTTGGTTAACTACAGTCACAGGTTCACAGTGCACTTGGATGTCTTCTCAAATGCCGAGATATCACTAATAGGTAAGAAATTATTATAAATACCAACTGAGAATAACATATTCCAGCGGTACAAAATGGTTTTTTCCAAGTACATGTAATACCGTGTTAATTGGTAATTTGATTACAGTTCACAGGAACCCCATTATAAAAACATTGAAAATTGGCAACACACAGTAAAGGAAATTAAGCGAATTAATTGGATATACCTTCAATGCAGGGAAGGAGGTTATGTGGGTGGGAAGCAACTGTTCGAACTGATCTGGTAACACATGATCTCATATATATGTCAGTACATTCATTTATACGCCTACCGAAATCATCCGTCAAAAGTATATACCAATAATATATACACAAGAATGATTGCAACGCTGCCCTTCTCCAATAATCATGTCATTAGCAAAATAGTGCGGTGGGTTGGAGAAAAAAAAGGAAGTTCTGCATTTGTAAACTAATGATTTTTGAGCCTTCATATCTTTCATCTAAAAATATTGTTCTATTCCTAAGCACTCAAGCATGCTACTCTTGACACCATAGTTTTTCAACAATTAAGCAGAACTGAGAGTCATCATGATAAAAATAACATTACATGCATTGAGGGGCAGTAATATTATATAGAACAACACGCAGAGCATGAATCAGATAAGTCTCAATTCAAAACTAATTTATGAACATTTCAATTGAATTCCCAACCTGAAGTCGCAAATCCTTGTTGTTGGTGGCTCGCCTCCAGGGACTGCAGTGTGGATGTGGTTCGGCTGTCCTCGCTGTGGATCGGCGGTCGGCAGCGACCGCGGAGGAGATAGTCGGCGTGGAGTAGATCGGCGATGCGGGCGGCGGAGGCTGTCGGCAGCGCCCGCAGAGGAGGTTGTCGCTGGCTTCCTTGGCTGTCCTCGATGTGGATGTGGATCGGCGGTCAGCAGCGCCCGCGGAGGAGAAAGCCGGCGGTCGTAGATGTGGATCGACGATTGGCGTGAGGGACGAGGCAGCGTAGCGGTTGGCGTGGGGTCGGGGCGTCGGCGTGAGTCGCGGCGGCGTCCGGGATCGGGCGAGGCGAGGCGACGGCGGCGGCGTCTGGGAGCGGCGGCGTCGATCTGGAGGCGGTCGGCTGGGAGGGGCGCCGGCGGCAAAGGCAGGGCGTCGGAATCGACGGCGCCGGCGGCTGCGCTGCAGTTGGCGTGAGAAGAACGGAGCGAGGAGGTTGGGCGAGGGGAGGCGGAGCGATCTGGGCGAGCGGCGTGATTTTCAGCTGAGATGCGGTGGTTTCTGCTCGCGGAGGTTGAGGGGGTACGTGGGATGATAGGAGCCATTGGATTGGATGATTCTGGACCGTCGGATTTGATGAATGAGGTTTGTAGGAGTGTAGTTGGTGAATTATATGGTAGGTAATATTTAGTATATAACTAGAAAGGTAGCCCGTGGATTCGCGCGGGCATGTATTTTAAGATGTGTTTGAGATATTTATAGTTATAAGGATGGAATATTAACCGTAGAACACCTCTCATGCTTAAAAAAACAAATCTCCGTACAATTTTTCTGTCAGCATAGCCTATAATTTTTCCAACCTAGCTTTATACCATACAATATTTGGTTAATCCCAATAAGTAATTATCAATAATCTTTTTCGTATGAAAGAAGAAGGAAAACTTAGTTTGTTTTAAAAAATATATCTAATAAATTAAGTGTAAATTGAAAATAAGGTATTTTTGTTTTTAAATTGAATGTTAGTGGACATTTTTCTAACAAATCTTAAAAAACTTTTATCGCTAACAAATGTGTTTTATTGTACCATCAACTTAGACCTCCTTTTATTTGTTGTATATTGATGCAATTTGTTGCATACTAACATAATAAACACAGAGGAGATATACATATCCTAGACCTCGCTTCCCTACGATATATGTGATCTATGTGCTATTTTTTTTAAAAAAAAGCTAATCAACATGAATCTTAAAATTGAAATCTAATAGTAAGAAATATAACTTTTAAACCAACTATATACTGCTAGCTTAGTGTAACTTATATATGCAATAATTTTTGGAGGAATTCATAATTCCATGGCGTACCATAGAGAAAAATCCATTAACATCTATGCACTTAAAAAAAGATTTAATGGTTAAATATAATTTCGCATGCATTTTTTTTGAAGTGTGGTGTATTATGAATGCGCGCTTGAATATCTATCCAATGATATATTAAAAGTGCATTAAATACTATCTAAGGTTGATTACATGGTAATATAACATAGTTTAGAGCACTTACACAAAAGATTATTTGTCTTGCTCAGATTATTTGAGCATACTAATTTCAAGAAAATTACGAAGGTACCGTATTTTTGTGCCGTGGTTTATACAATTTATATATGAGTTAGTTTTTTTTTATTATTTAGCTATGCATGTTTGCGAAACAATGTATGCTAGTGCAACATGTGTTGTTGAATTATTTCATTTTATTTTTAAATTGTAATTCAGTTGACATGTAAAAGACTAATGGCGTGTGTTCCTCCGAATTTTTTATTCAATGGCTTGCACTATTTATATGTAAACTATGCTCAAATCTTATATTCTTATATAATATAAAATAGGCACATGAAGCTTACATTACTGGTATGACTCCAACAATCAGATAAGAAAACAGACGTATAACTTATAATTATAATTATTGATTGTTTCTTTTTGTTTGATAGCTTAAAGAAATAGTGAGAGGAGAGGAATGAAGAGAATAGGGTTGAACCATATAGGGAAAGGAAAGGTTGGGTAGTGCTTTGCACAGGTTGGCGGGAGAGGGATGGAGGAGACTCTCTTTTTCTAAATGATTTAGCTAATGATCAAATGATTTTTTTTCTCGGATTTCTATAATTTTTAAGGTGTGCATATCACAGGTTATGAATTTTTCTGAAGGTAGATTTAATGGCTGAAAACAGTTTTAACTGGAAACCGATGATAAGATGTTTTGTGTTTTCCTTTTTTCTAAGTTTCTTCTATTTTTTTTAAAATGTGACATATGTTGACTTAATAGTGACCCCGTATTTTCTCTAATTTTTATTATGTAGAATAATTTATGATGATATAATATATATTGTCAATTTTTTGTTGTTTGGTTGTTGGTCTATGTTCAAATTATGTATTTCAAATTTTATATACCAAAATATGAGTAATAAAGATGCTCATTTTCTTATTTCGTTATAGATGAAACTAAATAAAAGAACAGTACAGAGAAATTAAAAATAGGTGTTATTTGGTTGCAGAAAAGATGTCTATTCAAATTATGTATTTAAATTTTTATATAGTAACATATGGTTAATATAGATCTTAATTTATTTATGTATCTAATTATAAAAATAACAGTTCAAATAAATTAAAAATTAGATATAACTATGATGATGTAGCTATCTAACTGTTGATTATTGTTCTTTTGAATTATTAGTCAAAAATACATCGTTTAATAATTTATATAATCATCAAATCATTAATCAGAAATTAAGTTAAAAACTACCATGTATTATAAGAAAAATGGAAAGAGGTAAGGAGAGGAGAGGCGGTCAAGGGAGGGAGTAATTGAGTAAACATGTACGTGTGCATATGTACGGTACTGCGGATGGGAGAATATATATTTTGTCAACCAATTTAAGTTATCTATAATTATTATTTGATAATGAATCACCAAGCGTTTTATAAAATATCCATGTGGCGGATTAAGAATGTTTATAAGATATTTAATGAATTTTTTAGCTTATAATAGAAATAAAGGGATAGAGGGAGAGCTAGCTAGACCTAATAGATCAAAGTCTAGACCTAATAGATCAAAGTCTATTTGTGGGTTTTTTCCATAAAAATAATTTCAATTTTCGTTATTTGGGGGATTAAAAAAGCAAACGAACGGAGGACAGCAAACGTATGACGTTGTATGTCGTACGTGCGTATTCCCCACGGAGACAGGATGGAGGGATGTTTTTTTATAACAGAGATCTAACCATCTAATATAATGGGTCCACCAATTTAAATGAAAATCAATGGTTAGATTTATCTATTTTATTATGATACCACGTGGCGGTATGAGTGCGTTTATAGGGTGCTACGTGGCGATGCGAGAGCGTTTATAGAAAGTTTATTGGACTTTTAGTATATAATAGATAGATAGATAGATAGATAGATACATAGGCAGGCAGGCTAGTAGTATGAATCTAGACAGACAGCATGTCCAGATCCGTAAACTAGGAAATATTCCATGTGATGATAGGTTCTTATATTTTGACGAATGGGGTATTTAATTTATTTTCGCTATAGACACACTATGCATTAATTTGAGAAGATTATATCTAAAAGGATATTCCCTCTCTCGTGTAGACACTACCAATGGATACTGTGGGTTTGGAGAGACCGGCATATATATGTATATATATATATATATATTAAATTTGTTTGGTGCTCCATGGTGTCCGGGCAACATGATTGAAATTGAGTATATACCCAATTCAAATGAGTATGAAACTTTTTAAAATGTTTAGGTATTAACATTAACTATTTTACTAACTAGTTCAAAGCAAGTTTCAACTGAATTTGAACTTGTTTATGTTAGATTTTGATTCTAGGTATATTGCATCTAAACATATAATTAGTTAGATATGTAATCATGGATTATGAAATAAAGTTAAATTTGAGTTATTTTGTTGATAGGTATAGGTATAAATCGAATTCTTATAACTAGATATATACTCACAATTCATGGGGGTGTGTGTGTCTATATATATATATATATATATATATATATATATATATATATATATATATATATATATATATGAATTTATACCTCTGTCTAAAATTCAAAAAAAAAAAAGATAACAGTACAAATTATATAGCCGAAATCTCTTATATTTTTGTTTTGATTTTTCTGATGGAGATAGTATTAACTAGGTAGAGTACTATTCTTTTTATTTGATTTGATGGGTCCCCACACCACTTGGAGATATAATGAGCTGAAAGCAGTGGTGGGCCTACGATTTTTATTTGCTTTGGTTCCATGTGTGCTAAATCGGTAATTAAGGATCGATGATCATAGACCGATTCGTTTGGCCTCACTAGCTTCAACCTCACGCAGGCATCACAACAATGCAAAACAATCTTCTCAAAAAAAAAAAACAATGCAAAACAATGACACATCAACACTATTTAAGTTTTAATTACTCACTTCATCATATAATATAGTTATTAATTTCTGGCTATACACAAATGAATACTGGGAACAAAAAATTTACCGTGGTTATTGGTTAATATAATATTTGTACTTTAAGACGAAAACACTTGGTCGCATAAGAGCAATGATAATAGTGTGCTATATAAGTCAACTATATAAGCTTAAGTAGAGAAGAGATGTAACAAAAAATAAAATAAATAGATGTGGACTCTCGTGCAAAAGCTTGCTCAACACGTGCTTCAGTACAAATACATTAAATGTATAAGTAAGAGAAAAAGATAGTAGAAGAAAAAATAAAGATAATCTTATAGCTAATCTATTATATATATGCTGATAGGGTAATAGCTCGTAGTGAGCTTTTCTATTAAACTTGCTCTAATAATATTTCCAACCGTCCGAGCTTCCGAGCAGTAAGGGCAACATTGACGGCTCGAGAGCACTCCGCATTCGCGTGACATCCTCGGTGCTAGTGAGATAACTAAGGGGCTCATGATTTTAAGATAGTAATTATAAAAAAATAATTCAGAGTGTGCAGGTGCACGAAATAAAGAGAGACGAATAGGGTAGCCCTTGTTCTTACTCAAATCTATCTACCCTATAATCCACCTACTACCTCTTACATTCTTCATACTTCATTTATCAGATTCAACGCTCTGTATTCACCTACATCCCATCAAACGGTTCGGATTGCCTCACTCCGGCCCGACCCCACCCTTCCCTGCGCCTTGCGTTCCCCGTTCCCTGCAACCGCTAGCCGTTCACGCAATCACGCCCTCAATCCCTTCTCTCCTCCTCGCATCTCTCACGCCGCCCCCTGACCCAGCGCCGTAATCATCGCCCGCCTTCCGCATCGCAAGCGGCGGCCCCTCTACGCCGATTCCCCACCGCCGCCAGGGGGGCGACTCCCTCACCGAACCGCGCTGCCGGGACACCGACGCCCATCTCGTCCACTCGCCCGTTCCTCCGCGGCGCGCCGCCGGATCAACGTCAGTCGCCTGCCTCCTGCCCGGTCTCCTCCGTGCCTCCACCACCTCCCGAATCCCGGCCTGCCACCACCCTGTCCCGCGGCGGCCTTCGTCATCGACAGTCTGTCACCGGCGCATCTCCTTTCTTCCCCTCATCACAGAGGGACATCTCCATTTAGAAAAGGTAAACAAAAAATCGTTTATGCCGTCTGATTTCTGGACATCCCCATATAGAAAATTCGTTTCATAGGTTTCTTCCGTGGCAGTGTGATATGGTATTGAACTGACTGATGTTTCTCCGATATGAAATGGATGCAGTTTGTTAATAGGTTTAAAATCTGTTTGGAAAAACTAGATTCTCCTGTTCAAAGCTTGAACGTGCAGAATTGGGTACCGTGGCATCACCTCCATTGCTTTCTAGGACAGTTAAATGCTACTAAATTGCAGGGCCTAACCTTTCTATTTGTATGTGCTATGAGTCAATCCAATGAAGGCATAAATTTTCTATTTATCGTAGTCCAATTCTGGTTCTGCCTTATAATTTGGGAGAAAGGTACTACTGCATATGACCAGGTCTCCTATACATTGTAGATATCATTTTGTGAAAGATTAAAACCATCTTGTTATGGTAGTCCCCGAATTGTAAAGTTATACATGAAATCATCCAAACTGAATGAGGTTTGTTTTGCTTCGATTGTATTTTATTTTTTTTATAACTCTCAGCTGATTTGATTTCATTTCATTTAGGTGGATATTAAATGAAAGGTTTATTCCAGATCAAAATTCTACCGACATATATGCTCTCAACGCATTACTATAGAAGGGATTGAGATTCTGTTCATGACCATTGCTTTCAGTTTCAGGCAAGTATATCATATGATCTGGAATATTTGAATTAACACATCACTCTTGGTTGTCCCAAGAGTCCATACAACCTGGAGGTCATCAACAAAATTAATATGATTTGGAATTCTTTCACATGCATGTCAATTTTTCTTAGTTGTTAATTAAGCCTCAAGTGGGTCAAAACGACCAAAAATCAACATATCAATTCTCTACTGTTTTCTTCTGTACATACTAGCACAGTGCTGCATCACACTTTCTCAGGTAAAATATAATATGCCAGTATCTCCCTTGCTTTCTAGGATCCGTTGATTTTAAATATCAGATATACTTTTTTCTGGTTGATTTGCTAAGTGCTGGCAGTACTACATGTCTATCAGAGAGGGGTGCCTTGTCTAATGTACCTCAAGTTGCATTGAGATTTGAGAGGGCCACAAAAACATTCAAGGATAGGAAGGTAGCTGTGCAGGGGAAAAAAAAGCATTGATCAAATGGTTACCAGGTTTGTCTCTTGAAAACTAATCTTTTTATATGTTCTGTTTTGTAGTAGTAGAGGTTTATGCTTCCATGACTCCATGAGACACGCTCTTGCCATTATAGTACAGAAGTGCACAACATTTTATAGCGCTGTTTGATTCAGAACTTTTTCTGTGAGATTCAAACTATTTTGCACAACATTTAATTCATCTTTGTTTTCTAATTTCAGTAAGTACGCACAATATATTACTACAGAGGGAAAGGGAGGCTATATTACCTCAGTCCCCTTGTCGTCTATGAATCCTGGTATACATCTTCCCCTGTGCCCCCTGCTGCAATCTTGCATGCCATTGATGTTATGCCCTTCGGCAATTATGTTTTCGCATAGGCTATTGCACTTCATTAAACAGAAGTATAGTAGAAGCAATAAGTTTAGTGGAAAATTCAGGTCCAATTTCTTCGTCAAGGTTCACTTTCTTTGCATAAATGTTTTTCATGCAGCTGGATGTTAGAGTAATCGTTGAGAAGCCATTTGGAATGGACTTGGACTCTGCAGAAGATTAATTCAGGGCCCACCTTGGGGTTATTTGAGGAAAATCAGGTCTACAGATTTGGTCACAACTTAAGAAAAGAGTTGGTACACAACCTGGTAAAGGCTATAATTTTGCCAATAATTAACCACCTCCGACATAATAACATTTCACAGGGAAGAAGTTGGTCTTCATGATTTTGTATTGCTTAAACATGTTTACACTTCCCATTGTGAATCGATCTCCATTGTTCGCCTTAGGTGTATCTAGCATTGCTCTTCTTATTTCAGAATCATTCCATACTGGTAAGTATCACCAATGTCTCTGTGCAATGATCTGATAATCATCAATATCGCCTTAGGAGTTTTTGAGCTCAACAATCGTTGATGGCAGTCTTACTTCTCTTTTTACAATCAACGTCTGCAAAAACTCAGCTTCTCTATCTCCTTGAGAAGCTCACGGTCAAAGTTACATTCGTAGAGTCTTAAGTACCTTAGGTGAAATAAGTTACAAACATGCCTAAGATCAAGATGGCAACCTTCTGTAAGATAACAATTTTCTAGATCCAGCACACGTAGAACCTGGAAGCTTGAAAGAGATGGTAATAAACTAACACCAGAACTACTGAATATAGAAAGCGACCTCACTTGTGACATCTTCAGGTTGGTCTGAGCTGTGCTGTTCTCTAGCTTGTTATTCTGGAGAGAGAGCCTACGAACCTTGCTTGCTGGAGATGTCTGTTGCAAAATGCCATCCATTACAGTAACAAAGTTCTCTTTAGATGACAAGGATCGGATAAGATCATGAATCATATCATGCACACGACAAGAATGTAGCATACCACTAACATAACCTGATGGTTGGATGAGGCTTCGATTTATAAGCTCATTAAAGTAACTATCTGCTAACTCGAACAAGTTGTCCCCATCCTTTTCTGGATGGATGAAACCTTCAGATATCCACATCCTTATTAATCGAGATCTTTCAATTTCATAATCTTCGGGAAATATACTCAGATAAAGTAAGCAGGTCCTTAGGTGGGAAGGTAAATTGTGATAGCTAAGTGACAGTATCTTTCTCATGTTTTTCATATCATGGTTGTTTCCAAGTCCATAGCCAATTGAATTATACACCTTGTACCACTCTTCTGCCATGTTTCTAGTTCTAGCCAACACAATAGCTATAGTTATGATAGCTAATGGTACATCGCTGCATTTCTTCAATATCTTTCCAGATACTTCAACTAACTCTTGTGGACATTTGTCCTCGGAGCCAAATATTCTCCCGTAGAATAATTTTTTAGAGCTCTTGGGTGGAAGGGTTTTTAGTTTATGAGGACTACCTATTTGTTCCGCAATATCGAAATCACGGGTAGTTGCAATTATTGTGCTCCCATCATTGTTTTCCACCAAAGCACATCTAATTGCACTCCATGATGCTATATCCCATATGTCATCAATTACAATTATGTACCTACGTGCGTGTGGAAATCTATATTAATATTAACACAAGAGAGTCAAGTGTTTCAAAAATAAAAACAGAGATGTCTAAATGTTCTTTGCCAAAGGTACTACATAAAAATGAAAATCTGCTAAAAAGAGGTAGGGCCTCATCGGATGGCTGTTTTAGCTGAGACTTTTTAGCCAAAGCGTCTCGCTTATTAGGCTGAGAACTTTCAGCCAAATATAGATAGGGCCCGCAAATGAGTTGGAGCAGAAAATCCTCATCAAGCCATTTAAGCCAAAAGTCAATCAATGAATTTTCTTTAGCTGAATTGAAGAAACCAACTTTGGCTGATCAGCCGAAGCTTTTGGCCTACCGACGAGGACTACAAAGGTTTTTGAAACAAGAAACAACAAATTTGTCGTACCATGTAACATGCTCAGTAAAAATTTACATACAAATGTAAACATGATAAAATATTAGTTGCAACAACATTTTATTATTCATCAAGAAATAAAATGCATATGAAACTATCACTTGCATTAAATTTGTAGTTCTTTTAACCGTGCAAGTTCAGCATTATATGTAGCACAACATTAGTGGACCACAAATAAGAAAGACTTATACTCCATAACAAAAACCGCAGAGGTAAAACGCCGTGATATGATGCATGCTTACCTCTTGTTCTGAATGAAATCTCTGAGCTCATCAATGAGCTGCTTCTCATCCCTGACTAGGTTATGGATGTCCTTGTTCTTTGTCTTGTCGAGCTCAAGCAGCATGTCCTTGAAAACTTTCTTAATATCAGGAGCGCTGGAAACAGAGACAAATGCCGTGCAGTCGAACTGAGGTTTAAGCCTGTTGCACACCGCTCTGGCAAGAGTCGTCTTGCCCAACCCTCCTCCTCCAACGACAGTGCCAACGCGTTCATCAGCTCGTCGCTTGCCTCGTCGATGCCAACCAGCTCCGCCTCGTCTCTGTACAGGCCGTATAGCCGCGGATCGCAGCCGCCGGTGGCGGCGGAGGCGGCACCGTTGTTGAACCGGGCGACAACGGTGTCGGTGACATGGGACCGGGAGTATCATGACTAGAGGTTTGGGCAGGAGCAATCACCCACGTGGCCTGACCCCCTCGGGGGGGGGGGGGGGTCGGGCCCGAGGGTGATGAGGCCGCCACTCTCTTCGTCTCCCCGAGGGGTCGGACCGCTCCCGTTTCGGCCCCGAGGGCCGAGGCGCCCCGACCCCTTATGGGTTTTGCGCCGCGTGTATGGGTTAGGTGAGCACAGCGAGGCTCACCTAACCGCATTTATTGCAGGTTTGAACGAGCGCGTCACGCCGCATGTAACGCAGTGCAGCGCGCTCGTTTATCCGGTCTGTGACCGGTCACAGACCGGTCAGATCGTGGGTTAGGTGACAACAGGCGGTCTGACACACGCCTCGCCCCATCCCGTCAGGATAAGAGCCTCCAGGCACTTGTCCCTAGCCGGAGCCAGCGTGCTAGCTCCTGGAGATGGCACGTTGGTCCCGGTCAGATATATGCCAGGCTTCATCCCAACCGTTACAAGCAAGACATTGTATGAAGAAGGGCGAACATGCAGATTGATAAACTGACGCGTGGTGGACAAGAATGACCGATTTGTGACCGGCCTGACACTGGTCATGTCGTCGGCAGATAGCCATGTTCCCACGTCGCACCTGCTTCCGGCGGAAGTGGAGGTAGGTATGGGCCGTCCTATCAGAAGGTCATTCGGACGGCAACCATTACAAATCTCCGCCCATTTATGAAGGAAAGGCGGGCGAAGTTTTAGAAAAAAGAGCAAGTTTTAGAAAAAAGAGGATGGGTCCCCACCAAAAAGGGAAATAGGTAGAAGTGGTGCATGTGGTATCCCCTTGAGATATAAAAGGAGGACCTTGCCCACTTGCGGGAGAAAAAAAAGAAAAAGAGGGGAGGAGAAGATCCCACGAGAGGAAAAAAGGAGGAAAGGGGTTTCTAGAGTTTGAGCGCTCTGGCTCTCCAGCTCTTGGTAGCTTCTTCATACACAGATCTACCAGAACACAGGAGTAGGGTATTACGCTTCTCAGCGGCCCGAACCTGTATACATCGCCCGTGTCTTGTGTGTTTCCACTTTGGCGAACGTTCTACAGACTAGGAGCTTAGAACCTCACCCAGGGCCCCCGGCCGAACCGGCAAAGGGGGACCTGCGCGGTCTCCCGGTGAGGAGCCCCACGCTCCGTCATCTGGCGCGCCAGGTAGGGGGCTCTGCGTGTGTTTTTCTAAGCTCTCATACTCTTTCGTGTGCGCCAAGCTTTTCCTGTTCAGCCCAATGGCTGAACAAGCAAAAGCGCACAACCTCTCTCCGAGTGTTAGCGGTGACGACGGGGAGCCGAACCCACGCCGTCGAGCTCGTACTCCGCCGCCCCCTCCACGCCAAAGTCCAAGGCGGGAGGAGGCGCTCGAGAGGGTCGAAGGATCCGCGACTTCAACATCCACGGGTGATGGGAAAGGGCGCCGAGATGGGGAGCGTCGCCTCCTCGTCTACGGCGACGGCAGCACGCCCCAGGGCGTGCTCCAAGCTGCGGGCGCGCTCCTACGTGACCCGCCCGTTGTCCCTGACCCGGAGTCTCCAGCCCAACGTTGGCTGGACGACGTGGCCAACTTGGTCATGACGGCACGGCAGCGCCTAGGTGTTGGTGGGCGGTCCTCCGCCACCAAGACCTCTGGCGCTGCTACCACCGGCTCCGTATCGTCAAGACGGAGGGCGCGGCGAGCGGCGGTTGTTGCTCGCCATTCAACTGCCACTCCCCCGTCAGCACCTCCGACCCGGGAAGATCAGCGTGGGGTGCCAGATGCCCACATCGGTATCGAGCGCCGGCGTGATGGTCGACGTGCTGCCCACGCAACGGAGGGCGCCTCCTCGTCCGGAGTGTCACCTCAACACGGACGCGGGGATCAGCCCTCCGTGCCCCCGGTTGGTGGTGTCGGCTGTAGAGCCTTTGTGGCGAGCCTTCGGAACGTCCGTTGGCCCCCAAGGTTCCGGCCCACCATCGCCGAAAAATATGACGGGAGCGTCAACCCCGCCGAGTTTCTCCAGGTCTACACGACCGGGATCGAGGCCGCCGGGGGTGATGACAGGGTCATGGCGAATTTTTTTCCCATGGCCCTGAAGGGACAGGCGCGGGGTTGGCTAATGAACTTGCCACCCGCGTCGGTCCACTCTTGGGAGGATTTGTGCCAACAGTTCACCATGAACTTTCAAGGCACATATCCGTGCCCAGGTGAAGAAGCGGACCTACACGCAGTACAGCGAAGGGATGATGAGTCACTTCGCTCATACATTCAGCGGTTCTGTCAAGTCCGCAACACCATACCATGCATCCTTGCACACGCGGTGATCTACGCGTTCAGGGGGGGTGTGCGGCACAACCGCATGCTCGAAAAGATCGCCTCCAAGGAGCCCCAGACTACCGCGGAGCTTTTTCAGCTCGCGGACCGAGTGGCTCGTAAGGAGGAGGCCTGGACCTGGAACCCCTCCGGTTCCGGTGTGGCGACTTCGGCCGCCCCCGGGTCCGCTGCTCGGATAGGGCGGCGTGACAGGAGGAGGAAGAAGAGGTCAGCCGATTCCGACGACGAGGGTCATGTCCTCGCCGTCGAGGGCGCTTCGCGGGCCACCCGAAAGGGGAGGCCTGCGAGCGACAAAAAGAAGGAGGCCGGCGCTCCCAGCAGGGAGCGCCCAACCGGCAAGTGGTGCATCGTCTACAACACCTCCCTTCACGACCTCGCGGACTGCCGCGCAGTCAAAAGTTTGGCTGAGCGGACGAGGAAGTGGGAGGAGGAGAGGAGGCAGGTGCGCCGAGAGGGTAAGTCCCCGGCGGTACCCTCCGGCAATCGGCGAAGCGAGGCCAAGCAGAAGGCCCCCGCCGAGGACATCGATGATGGTGATGATGACCTAGGTTTCCAGGAGCCTGGGGCCACCATTGCCACTGTCGATGGGGGAGCGTGTGCTCACGTTTCTCGCCGGAACCTTAAGGCCATGAAGCGAGAGCTTCTGGCCGCGGCCCCTACTCATGAGGCGACGCGTCGGGCGCGGTGGTCGGAGGTTGCCCTCACCTTCGACCAGACCGACCACCCACCGTGTGTTGCCCGGGGAGGACAGATCGCGATGGTGGTTTCCCCCACTGTTTGCAACGTGAAGTTGGGGCGTGTCCTCATAGACGGGGGGCAGCCCTCAACATCCTTTCCCCCGCGGCCTTTGACGCCATCAAGGCCCCGGGGATGGTGCTCCGGCCGTCCCAGCCGATTATCGGTGTGACGCCGGGGCACACATGGCCGTTAGGTCATATCGACCTACCGGTCACCTTCGGTGGATCCGCCAACTTCCGCACGGAGCGGATAAACTTCGATGTGGCGGACCTAAGTCTGCCCTACAACGCGGTCCTAGGAAGGCCCGCGTTGGTGAAGTTCATGGCGGCGGTCCATTACGCCTACCTCCAGATGAAGATGCCGGGCCCCGGTGGTCCCATCTCTGTCCATGGCGACCTCAAAGTCGCGCTTGCTTGTATGGAGCAGCGCGCGGACCACCTCGCCGCTGTGTCCAAGCCCGAGGGTGGCGATGAGAGGCTTGGCACCTCCGTCCCCGCCGCCCCGAGGCAGCGGATGATCACATGCGATGAGGTCCCGGTCAAGGAGGTTGCCCTGGGTGACGGCCCGTCCAAGACCACACGAATCGGTGGTCTTTTGGATGGCAAATAGGAAGACGCGCTCGTCTCCTTCCTGCGGGCAAACGCTGACGTCTTCGCATGGAGACCGGCGGATATGCCCGGGGTCCCCAGGGAGGTGATTGAGCACCGTCTCGCCGTGCGGCCGGGCGCAAGGCCGGTCCGGCAGAAAGTGCGGCGGCAGGCCCCGGAACGTCAAGCCTTCATCCGTGAGGAGGTGGCGCGACTTCTAGAGGCCGGATTCATCCACGAGGTCATCCATCCGGAGTGGCTGGCGAACCCGGTGGTCGTTCCCAAGGCGAACGGCAAACTTCGGATGTGCATCGACTACACCGACCTTAACAAGGCATGTCCTAAGGACCCTTACCCCCTGCCTCGCATAGATCAGATTGTCGACTCCACAGCGGGGTGCGACCTTTTGTGTTTTCTAGATGCATACTCTGGTTACCATCAGATTCGCATGGCTAGGGAGGATGAGGAAAAAACTGCATTCATTACCCCCATAGGAACTTATTGTTATACGACAATGCCCTTCGGGTTAAAGAATGCAGGTCCTACTTTTCAACGTACTACTCGAATTTCTTTGGGTAGCCAAATAGGACGTAATGTTGAGGCTTATGTCGATGACTTGGTTGTGAAGACGCGCAACCAAGAAACTTTACTTTCGGATCTGGCGGAAACTTTCGAGAGTCTCCGCTCCGCCCGCATAAAGCTGAACCCCGATAAGTGCGTGTTCGGTGTACCTGCGGGCAAGCTTCTCGGGTTCTTGGTCTCTGCCCGAGGCATCGAGGCCAACCCCGAGAAGATACGAGCTATAGAGCGGATGCACCCCCCCAGCAAGCTTAGGGATGTGCAATGCGTCACCGGTTGCATGGCCGCCCTAAGTCGGTTCATATCGAGGCTGGGAGAGAAGGCGCTACCCTTATTTAAGCTCCTCAAACGCTCCGGGCCGTTTACTTGGACGGAGGAAGCTGAACGTGCCCTCACTCAGTTGAAGGCGTATCTCAGCTCTCCCCCAGTTCTGGTCGCCCCGGAGCCAGATGAACCCTTGCTACTCTACTTAGCGGCGACCCCGCAAGTAGTTAGTGCGGCGTTGGTTGTGGAGCGCGATGAGGGCAATCCTCATTCCGCGCATCCCCACCCTGTGCTGGCTTGGCCCGGGAGAGAGCAGGGAGGAGAGGCCCCCGAGCCGAACGGTGGCCCAAGGCCCCCGACGACCGGAGCTGGCCCTCTGCCCGCTTGTCAGACGGTGCCAGGTGCCCCCGACCCCCAGGATGGCCTGGGGGCCACTGCGGGAAGGCCGCACCTATCGCCCTCTGACCCCGAGGTTAACCCTGTGCCGACTCGACCCGGGAGAGAGCAGGGAGGAGAGGCCCCCGAGCCGAACGGTGGCCCAAGGCCCCCGACGACCGGAGTTGGCCCTTTGCCCGCTTGTCCGACGA